AGCTTCTGCAGACCTCCAAGGAGGAGACCCCACAGCCTCTGTGCAGCCTGTGCCAGTGCTCCGTCACCTGCACAGCACAGAAGTGCTGCCTGCTGTTCAGAGGGAACCTCCTGTGCTGGCACTGGGCACCACTGAAAAGAGCCTGGCCCTGTTCCCTTTGCATCCACCCTTCCAGTGTTTATAGACATTGATATCATTCCCTCCTGAGCCTCTTCTTCTCCAGGCTGAACAGTCCCAGCTCACTCATCCTGTCCTCACAGGAGATATATTTCCCTTCATCGTCTTCCTGGCCCTTCATTGGACTCTCCTCAGTATGTCCATGTCTCTCTTATACTGGGAGCCCAGAACTGGACTCTGCACTGTCAGCATGGCCTCACCAACAAGAAGGATCACCTCCCTCGGCCTGCTGGCAATACTTTACCTAATGCAGCCCTAGACACCATAAACCTTTTTTGCAGCAAGGATGCATTACTGGTCACTCAGGCAGTAAGCACATGTGGAGCATTTCCTTCAGAAGGAAGTAAGCCTGGGCTGTAACATGGAGTTGAAGGAGGACTAGGGAAGATAACCTCTCCATAAATCAGCCTCACAACACAGACAGCAGAGTGGATCTGCACTCCAGTCTATAACAGCGATTTCTGTATTCCTTGCTTAAATAGCCTCTGTGTCTCTCAGAGTCACACTTGTTGCCATCTTTGAGCAATATATGTGACCCTTTACAGATACTCCACAACATTTATCTCATGGCTATCAATCATTTGTACCTTCAGTTCTGTCTATTACTAGGTGCCAGCAAAGGTGATCTCAATGACTTTTTGATGATTCTGGAAAAAAAAAATCATAGAACACGTTCCAGGGCCTCAATGTCTTTCTTGCAGATCTTTTCTTTCAGACTACATTCATTTTCATAGTCATTCAAGCTACCTTCACACACACATAAATTTCCTCCACCTTGTTGTCCATTTAACAGCGTTGTCCACTGTTAAACTAAGAATGAGGAAATCCCCTTTTTGAGGAAGTTCCTTACTGCAATTTTAAAAGCTTCCCGCCTAAGGCGAGAAATAAGCTGTGTCTTATTTTTGACATCACCTGTAAGTGTCTGCACAGCGGGATATGGAGTTAGTAGATCTTAGCCCATCCAAAGACCACTTTGGATGGCAGCAGATGGTACACAGGGTGCATGTGCAGCAAGGGTAACTTTTGCAGAGCCTGAGCAGCATACAGATGCTTCCAGGAAGCTGGAAAATAAACCAACCCAGTAAACATGACACAATATCTTTACCCTGCAAAAAGATGCAAAGTTAGGTCAGATTAATGAACTAAATTTCAACCCCACTCTGGGACTTGCTGCTCTTATTCTGAAGAAATATGCATTTTTACTGCTGTTATTCTGTTGGTTTTATTTAATTATTGCAATGGTAGTATTATACCTGTCTCATCTCTGGCTTGAGTCCTCCCTTTACAACTATTAGACCTAACATTTCATTCTCTTGTTTAAAAGTGGAAACGTCATCTGCCTGTCTGCAAGTCATCTCTGCTGCTGACCCCTTAAACACAAAGAATCACACCGGAAATAAAATTCAAATGGATTTTAATCCAAATCCAATAATATCAAGTATGTGACAAAATGCCTGAAACATTTTATGTGACATCCATGGAGATGACATTAATGGCTCACTCACTGTTTCATCATTTCTGAGTAATGCATTCACCCAAATGCGTGCCAGTAAAGCCCTATCTGAAGCTATGCTCCATTTGCTATGATGATAGCAATGTTCACATGACAGACTGGAAACACGTGGATGCCTGGTAGATGTGCTGGTAACTAAACATGATCCTACAGGTCTATACATCCTGTCCCTGATCCAGCCCACTTAAATGCCAATAACTTTCAAAATTCTGACAAGTTGGTATGGAGTCAAATTGAAAACAGCATCACAGTAATATTTTTTTCTACCTGTTTCAAAGCATACTTTGCTGCTGACCCCATTCTGTGCTATACTACAAGATCAGATTTAGTCTATTCTTGGAGACTGAATTTCTGCAGACCAGTTCTCCCTCTTCCACTGAAATTCTGTTGGCTGTTTAAGTGCCTATTGAGCAAAAAGAGTGAGCTTCATGTATCTGGGAAATGGATCTCCAGATACAACACAATTGTCCTAGTATGAGCCCAAGTGGCCTTTATTCAGAGGAAAGTTACTTCAAGTCATTTTAGAGGATTCCCCCCCTATTCAGAATTTTTAATTTTATTTTCATCTCATTGCCACAACTGTGTCTAGGTTTGAAGGATTCTAAAGGAAGCTCTCCAAATTAAGTTCCCAGTTTTCAAAATAAACTAATAGTTTAAAACTCCTGCTATCTTTAGTATAAGAGACACAATATTACACAGTATAAATTTGTTCTTTTTTTTAATTGAAGCTGATACGTATGACTTGTTTTTCCCCAATTCCTTATCACTGCAATCACTACAAATTGATGATGATAAAATATTCTCACTTAAGTATGATACATTTCTGTCCTTTATACCCTTACCCATATGACCATTAAAAAATGAAAGGGAATTTATTGACTTGAATTGTGCTTAACCATATTCCTCACAAGAATTCAAGATTCTTCCATGTATTTGAATAAGAACACATCAATAATATTGCAGTTTTCAGTGGTACAAACCTGCCATGATCACGTGACTTCTACCTGTCTAAAGTATAAACCATAGAGGTTATTTAAAAATGGTAATAACAAGATTTACAGCATTCCATCTTGTATTTGCTTCATCTATTTTTCTTTTTTATGCTACGTTATTTTCAAGAGTCATGCTGTATCTGAACCTATAGTTGGATAAAAACTACAAGCAAGGGTCTCGCACATCAGAAAAGGAATTAATGGTCTTACAAGCTGCTTCTGGACTATTTTCTTGCTCATTTCTTTTATGCCCACAGGGAGACTGATTCAGGCTAAAATTAAATCAAAGGATCAAAATTCTGGCTTCAGGAAGTGCAGTGATAAGGTCTCATTGGTTTCGGTAGGGCCAGAATTCCATCTACAAGGATTACCTCCTCTGACCTAAATGTGCTTTGAAACAATCCCTAAGAGCCTTTGAGAGGCAAATGGTTCCCTTCCCTTGCAATTAACTCATAGTATGTTCTGTGGTGTTATCAGATGTTGGATTTTTATGTCCAGTTACAAGATGATTAAATAATCTACACATTCAAAACATCCCTATGCTTATTTTAATAAACAAAAAAATGTTTTTAAGATAATTGAAATAATTATAAAACACAGCATTTCACTGCAACACTGGCAATACAGACACCTCATTACCACTTAATGTCATTGAAATCTTTAATAACTGCTGGAAATGCACTTCTCTAACTGGGAAAAAGAAGCCCAAAGGGTCTTATCTTCGAGCCTCAGCACAGACTTTGCACTAGCTGTTAGTTAAGACATTTCTAGCACACATCATTCAATTAGTATATCCAATGGTTGGGACAATAAGGAGCAGTCAAATGCTCAGATGTGAAATTAATGATGTCAACGTTCAGGAGATGGCTTTAGAACTGAGATGCTCTCGGTGTTATCTGCATTGAGTGCAGATGAACTGTACCACAGGCACTTCAGAAAACAAGTGGCTCTTTAGCCATGCTGACACTGTCGAAATTATCCGCATATGATACTGCTTCTGTTTAAAAATTGCTTTCAGCTTGAGAAGGACTGGAGGACAAATGGAGGTGAAACTTGACCCTGTGCAATAGAAAAATATCACTGGAGGAGTGTCCCCATTGGATGGATTCATCTCAGCCATGTCTCTGAACAGGAAGAACAGCACCAGCCTCTTATGCCTCTGACTGGTTGCATCTTCCACCAGTGTGACAACAGAACTCTCTTGTGCTGCTCCGGGGCCCATCTGACCCAACAATGAGCTGATTCAGCTCATTAACTTGACAAGGACAGATTCTTTTTTTATTATCATTTTTTACTTTTTATTTACTTGCTGCATACTTTTTCTAGGATCAGCAGAAGCAAAGTAGTGGGAGTATGCACGCACGGGTGAAACAGCTCAGCCTCTTTGAGAAGCATAATAGTTGTATCAACCTGTAAGATTTTCCACTGCTTTTCAAAAGGTTATTTGGACCTTACACAGAAGAAAATCCCTCAGATTTTTATTAAAAAAGAGTAATCGTCAGATTGGCTTTTGTGAAGAAGCCAGTCTTTAAAAGCACCCTTACCTTTCTGCCTTTCCCCCCACTCGCTGGCTTTCCAATGAAATAAACATGATGTGTTAATATGAGACAATTTATGGAGCTATTCTGCAGATCAGATCACCAAAACTATCAACCATCATCAAGAAAAATCCACCCGCCCTCAAAGTTATTCTTCCGCCAAATCATTTAACTGAAGTGGTTCATAGGATGGCCTTTCAGACAACAGTAACAACCAAGCCAGCAGTAAACACAGGAAGCATTACCTACAAGTGGATTTATGTATTTATTTATTTCAGTTGACTCTGCTGTGAAGTACGTGACAGACAAGCCAACCATACAGGAAAGGTAAGGAAAGTTGCTGACTGGGGACAAAACACGAGCAAGAAGAACCTAGAAAATTCCCAGCCAAAGACAAGGCATAAGAAGGAGCTGAGGAACAACAGTTAAAGCTCAGACTCTTAACAACATCCCTGAAACACCAGAAAGTTTTCAGACTCAAACACATCGCATATTTGTATGCTGGAATGAAAGAACATTCCAAGTAAAGGCTCTGGTTTCCTCCCAAATAGACTGGTCACAATTACTGACAATTCCTATGATGGTGATGCAGATGCTGATAGACCAAAGGAAAACTAAAAAAAACCATAACATAATGCAAACCCCACCATAACTTGGCTGTAGAACTACTCTGCCTTAACACTACCGTCAGTTTTCAGATGCATTTGACATCTACAGCTGGCTGGGTACAGAAGTGATTTTGTAATCCTAATTCACATAAAAACAAGTTCAAAAGCTTACCTCTTTTGCACTTTTAATTTTGGCCAAGAAAGTGTACAGCTCCATTGTTTCAGCAAACAGAGCTCGGCACACTGCTTGATAGTGGTTTGGTGCCTCTGATCGGGTTGGCAGGTGGGCGGCGCACAGCTAGAGAGAAAAATAAATAGCAATTACAAACAGTGCCCCATTGCTTTAATTATCAGTACAGAGCATGAGATAAAATGAAAGGAAATACAATGGGATATTTAAGGCACAAAAATCCAGTAAGGACATTTAAACTAAGGTGGAAATTGCGGTATGTTTTCTAAGACTGGTTGATCTCATTCTGTAAAAGTGGATAAACCAAGACATTGCCTTTTTATTCAAAAAAAGAAAAAAAGAAGAAAGAAGGAAGAAGAAAAAAGAAAAAAGACAGTAGTGAATGGGAAAGAAAGCAATCTTGCAGTATTAAATTTGGGAAAGTGTACCTAATTCAAACCAGTTTTAACATTGTACATTTCTTTACTTTCTTTTGATGTGGAAGAGAACTGTATCCCTATCAGCTTGTGAAAGCAGTGGTCAAGCTGAATCTGATCTCATTTACTGAAGTGGTACAAATATTTTAAAAATCAGCAAGAGCTGCAAAAGCACTGGCTTTCAAATAAGACATTCATGGATGTTTTCAGAAACAGATGCAGCTGATTTAAAGAAATATTAATAGATTTTTTTCATACACACTAAGCTTGAAAAAACTCCAAAATCCTACTGAAATCACTAATAACCATTCACAACTTCCACTAAAGCAGAAGTCAGATTGACACTGCTTTTAGAGGAAAACATGCAGATCCCCTCTCTGACAAGAGAAGCCTCACTTAAATAAGTCTTTCTATTTCAAATAACATACATGTAAGCAACATCCAGCTTCATGAACAGGGCTATTATAGAATAGCTGAGCACTCGTGCTCATGGTTAAAGTCTTTTTCTTACACTTTCCTTGAGTTGCAACCATTTCTTATTAGTAATGCAAGAAATCTTTGTCAGAAACAAAACAATAAAATAATGTCTACAACAGTATGCTAGTGTTAAATGCTTACATACCCAGTGCAAAACATAAAATTTGCATATCCTGTACCATATTGGTGTATATATTAAAATAAGACAAAATCTTAACCAAGGCTTTAAAATTTGCCTTGTTACTGTGGTTTCATAAAGGCTATTTTCTCTACAGCTAAGACTATGGACAAGCCTAAACCTGAGGAAATAAACGGCTACATTCAGAAGATCTGCAGAAGCAAAGCTTGAAACAAAAGCCTCTTTAGAAGAAGAGCCCTTAATTAGCCTAGTGGCATATTTCTCTGTGTTCTCCTGTGTTACAGCAGTGGTTACAGAGGGCACAATACATGTAGAGCTCTGGCTGCACTTCACGTTGTTTTCAGTCTGACTTAAATCCACACTGCCATTCCCAGATGCTGTTCTGTGGCCTCTGGCTGTGGGTTCCCACTGATGCTGGCACCCCCGTTTGTTCCCCAGTGCCGAGAGAATTTCTCACCCAGGCAAAAACCAACACGGTGAAGGAGATGGTGTTCTCTGTGGCTTGGACACGTGTAGCAGAGCAGCCAAAAAGGAGTAATGGGATCATGCTGCTGGAATGGGGAGAGGGGGGAGAAGGGAGGAAGGGCTGAGCAATGTTAAATTGGCTTAATCTCACTGACTGACTGCTTTCTAAGGCCACAACCTCCATTTTATTTTGTATTTCTTTCAGTTGGTATAACAACACTGAATCCAATGGTCAGATTTGATCGACTTCCTCGATAAAATCTCACAAGCACCATCTGGACTCCTGTGATAATCTACCCTGATTACTGCAACCATGTGTGTATAAACATTTTGAGCCCTTAAAAAAGAATATATGCACATATATTGAAAAGCGTATATAGATTTTTTCCTTCCTTCCTAAATGTTTTCAAATTTTATGATGCTATATGATGCTTTATGATGAGAACCAAACTTTTCTTATGCTGTTTATACCTACTTCCGGGTAACCATAGTGGCAAAGTTGAGACATTTAAAAAAACATATTATTTTTTAGCAAATCATATTTTCTACTTTGCAGGTGAAGGGAGAAAAAATGACACAGAAGCATTTCTCTCTTTCTAATGTATGCTACCTTGACAACTCACACTGCAAAGACAGCAGCTGTTAAGTATTTCCCTTTGCTTAGTGGAAAAGTCAAAATTATACTACTTTAAAGCAGAGTATGGTTAATTGGCATTCTTTTCTCTCAATAACTAATCATGTTCTTACCTGCCTTACTATGTTTTCAGAAGGCTATTTCTAGTTATTAACTACAACACAGATAAAAAGGGTTTCATTCTACGATGCACCACTTACAGGAATAATAATGGCTGTAAAAGGATAATAAGAACAACAATTTCAAAAAGGTCCTAAAATTGTAAAGGTCTTCATAGCAGAGAATAAAATGCTATTTAATCAGATGGCACACATGTATTTAAGAATACCTTTTTTTCTTTATTTAGAAGCATGTTAATTAGAAACAATTTGCATCAAATATTCAGAACGTTAATGAATGCAGCAGTGGCAAGTTCAAGCAGGGGATGGATATAATCTTGATTCTATTACTGAATGTGAAGTAAAGAAAAAAAATACATGTCTGCTGTTACAGCCAGCAGAAAAGTAACCACATAAGAAGTGAACCATTTGGTTTTTAAGCATGAGAATGCAGATTTTCAGAGGACCAGCAGCTCTTACAAGCTTTCATGCTCTGAAAAATCGATCTGAGTAATTTTAGATAGTGTGAACTCACATTACATGTCTTAACATACTTTTTCTGGATAGGGGAACTAAGCCTGAAGAAAAACTAAACTGCTAGTAAGATAAACTAATTTTTTTCCCCTTCATTTGTATCTACTGCACTTGCACACTGTTCAGAAAAAAAAACAGGGAGTCAAGACACATGAAGTATGAAATGTCTTTTCTAATGAAGTGTGCAGTGTCACTTCTAGCTTAAGTGCACCATATTTATCCACTTAAATTATTTTGTTTTCTAAAACACATTTTTAATTTGACAGTAATAGTGTCTGAAAAGCCACATTTCTGAAACACACCACAAAAATCAGTCAGAATGTTTTAATAACTGAGTTATAGACACAGCCACCTCATGAGCTCCATCTCTTACCATGTGCAAGAAGGATTTAGGTCAAGTCTGCAATCTTTTCCAGCCATTCAAAGCTCATCAAGGAAGGGAAGCCTCTGTAACGCTGCTTATTCTGACACTTGCATTTTCATCCCTCATGATACAACTTAAAACTATCCCAACGGGAATGAATGCGAACAGTGCCCAGAGCCTAATACAAGGGTTGTTTGTTCTTCTTCCAAGAAGTCTCAAAGAGCATGGTTGAAAACAAATTATACGGTCTTTGCAAATGAGGGGAGTATCAAAAATATTATCAACTACTGAAATATTAACTAGCTTGGTCAGTAATGTTTCAATTTGTAATCACTGTGAAGGGATTTCTTTTTTCTGATTTTGTTTTGTTTTCTGAGCCTATCCGAAAACCAGCTTGACCCAAAGCGTTCAATCTTTGCTTAGATCACTAAGAAGATTAGAGGCTGTTTCCATCCACATTTGAGGTTCACAGAAAAAAAGGCATTACGTAAATACCGTAGCCTTGCCAGCTCCTTGGTCCAAATCACCCTCAATTGACTAGGAAACAGAGCATGTCAGCCAAATCAGCGTTAAGAGAAATTACAATTTAACCATCAGAAGAGATTAAGCAGCATTTCTTGGCTCTGTTTGAATATTAGGGACTACATACAATTACAGTGAGTACTCACAGTTGAGTCACCTCCTAATATCAAGGTAAGTTTTGCAAAACCATCTTTTTGGCGAAAGCAATAATGCAAACTTCACCAAAACATCTGGCATAGTGTCTGTATGAATGCACACCAGAAAATAAAGGATCTCTTTCTCCCATGGCAAAGCTATTGATATTATGCAAACAGCACTTCCATCCTGCAAATGCCAGGCCTGTTAAGTGATCTAAAGCACTGGAGAATTAACATAAGACTTAAAAGATGTACCTTTTCCTTAGCCAAAAGGAGAAAAACTACTTTTAACTAATAGATCACTGAACATGCAACTGGGCAGGGCATTAGCTTCATCCCCTGCAGGACAGAACTGCAGCAGGCTCAGATAATATAACTGAGCTTGAGCTGTTTTCCCAAATTGAAGTTATTTTCAGGAAGATTTTATCTCCATGCAAATGAACCAGATGTTGTGACTCTTTGGGGGTGGGTTGTTTATTTTTATTTTAATACATGTATCATTTTCATAGAATCACAGAATCCTTACAGTGGGAAGGGACCTCTAAAGGTCACCTAGTCCAACTCCCCTGCAATGAACAGGGACACCTACAGCAGATCAGGTTGCTCAGAGCCCTGTCCAGTCTGGCCTTGAACACCTCCAGGAATGGGGCATCCACCACCCCTCTGTGCAACCTGTTCCAGTGCCTCACCACCCTCATTGTAAAATATTTTTTCCTTATATCTAACCTAAATCTACTCTCTTTAAGTTTGAAACCATTTCTACTTGTCCAATCACCACATTTTATTGCTATTAATGTGAACTTCAAGGAGCCATCTGCCTCACCAGGAAAAGCAGTCTTACTGAAAAAAAAAACCCACCTGTCTATTTACAAAATTCAACCTAGCACTTTGTTCAACTTTATTATTACTCAGAACAAAGTTAAGGAGTAAGACATGTTTTGACAGGAGTCTAGAAGATGTTTCTGTCTGCTATGACTACCTTTGTACATCCTATAAGGGAGCTTTGCCCAGTGCAAGTTCAAAGGCAGCTGTCACAGCAGCTGGAGTTGCTCACCCAGCTGTTGCTCTCCTGACCTTTCTGGACAGAGGTTTGCCCCAGCTCCTCAGCAGGCCAAGGATGAGCTGTTCCCTGAGGTACTGTGAGAAAGGACTTCAGGGGAAGACTAACAAGGTAAGACCATGCTAACACAACAGGGATGGGAGCAGAGTAGCTGTTAACCCATAAACTCAATGAACAAATTCACAGAAAGTACAGAAAGTATTCACAGAAAGATACTATTCCTGGAAAGCTACCTTCAGAAGCTTTTATAAATTTTAAATAG